CGTTCACCTCTCTTCCTCCAACCCAACAGGACTTCCTCAATCCCCTCCACGTAGCTGCTCACTGTGGTAACTTGAAGGTGGCCCGTATTCTCGTCGAAAGGGGCTGTGACATGAATGCGCGTGCTCTGGTGAGTCTTCTCTATTCGTTTTTGATGATTGCGTTCCTTTCTGTTATGGTAAGCTCTTGTCTCTCCCTCCATACAGAACGGATTCACGCCACTCCATATCGCCTGTAAGAAGAACAAGATCCCCGTGGTGGAACTGCTTCTTAACCGAGGTGCGCAGATCTCCAGCACTACAGAGGTATGTGCTTGGCCTTTTTTTAATGCTATGGCCTTATCAGAAGAGTTTGGCAAGCATTGTAGAGACAGTAATTGTGGATTATCTTTCATACGTGTGTCGTTTTCAATGCTTTCAGGGCATTGGATTGCATCGCTGTGGTAAGATCTCCAGCTCACTTAGTGGGGATGCTGTAAGGACATTTTCATTCGTGGTGGATAGGTTGAGGTTACCATTTTATGTGTTTTGCTTGAATCTTCCTCGAAGACGTCGTACGCGTACGAGTCTGCAGGTGGCTTAATTATCATCTTGTGGGATTTAGTGTGGAGGAAGTGACTGAAATCGTGGATACCCAAAACAGTGGTCACAGTACTCATTCCCAGTTTTTTCTATTATTCCAGGCCGGACTGACCCCATTACATGTGGCAGCATTCATCGGGAGCCCGGACCTGGTGCGTCTGTTACTGGAGCACGGTGCCTCAGTGGAACAGGCAACGATGCGTGGTGAGACGCCCCTCCATTTGGGTGCGCGATCTTGTAATCTGGAAGTCGCTGAGCTCCTGCTCACTCACGGAGCTGCTGTTGACGCCAAGGCGAAGGTATATTTTTTTTCCACTCGACTTCCGTTGAAACGTGGGTCTCGATCACTTAGAAATTTCCTCGTATTTTTAGCTTCTGTACTTGAATGTATGAGGATAGTGATGAAATCTAATCCTTTTTTACGGTATGTGATTGGGATGTTTGCTTTCAATACAAAACTCTTGACCTTGTCTTTTAGGAATTTGGTAAACTTGGCATGCGTTCCACGTTGTGTGATTGGCGTATGAAAACACCCTTCGTGTATCAAAACAAAATGCCTTCAAAAGAACCTTTTTTGCCGATTATTTGTCGGAAATAAAACTGGTTTAGTCATATTGTTAGTGCCTGGCAATTTACGTGTAGTGCCGCCCTACTAGTTTGCCTTCCGTCGGGTGATTTATGTCCCTACAATAACCTGGACTATACGAGAGCTGCGGAAGGAGGAGGAGTAATCAAGATTGATCTCTTCATTTAGTTCACCAGATGTTACTTCCAACAGAAAATTAATTTAAGACGGCTTTTTCGCCACCTATTGTTTAGTAAGGCACAAACAGAATTCCTTCTTTCTAGTAGACGGAACATCAATGCAGCACGAGTAGGAAAATAGGATTATTTTGTCATTGTGAACTAAGCTTTTCTCGGCTTTATGTTGGTAATTACCTTGAAAGCCCAAAAATGATACCTCCAATCCATGACACTGTACAAAGGTGTTGAACTGATTGAAAACGTCATTTGTATTTCCGTTGTAGAGTTATGTAACGCTTCCCATGTTCGATGAGAGTCGTAAAAAGTTTCACCACTTTACCGCCCCTGCAAAGCCAAGCTTTTGGGGTAGCATTATCATAATAACTAATGTCTGTCTACTGCCAAAGGGCAATAAAAGAGATGGAACGTTTTTTATCGGATGATCATGAGTGGAGAGCCACTGTTTAAACAGGGCTTGTAGGCGATGCGTGCAATGAAAACGCGTTAAAAATTATCATCATGAAGAGGTTATTTATTTTACTTTTTGCTAATATGACTGCAAATCACATAGAGAAGCAGTTTTTGCTGACAGCTGAAGCTTTATGACTAATTAATGGGTCTGTTCGAAAGTCTCGAGGTCTATGCATGTACGTATGATGTATTAGAGCCTTGATTTCCGCAAAAAATAATGTCGATCGCTCTTGGGTCATTTTCGTCCCGGTTCTTCGTTCAAATACCAGACGACCAGAAGTACTCACTGGGCAATTTATTGTGCTTTAAAAACTGTCGTGTCTGTGACTTCATTTTTTCAAATTTCACCCTCTCCTAAGTAGCACTGGCCAATTACCCGCTTCTTCAAAGTATCGATGAATGTGGACAAATTTTGTTTGCATCATCTGTCGTTGGGATTCCAGTAAACCTCCTATACCACCGACTGGTCGAGACCACATGGGAGGTCTTAGAATTGCCAATGTAACCGTTTTAAGCTGTTTACTGAACTGGTGCAAGGCCAATGCCAGCGACAGCAACAGCAGTCAAATTTGCTCTTGCTGACTTATTGTAACACGTAAATCAAGTTTTCAAATGCCTACGACCTGTTTTAATAGTTATGACCCAATTGTGGTAAAATCACTCAAACCTCACCCCTTGCTACCATTCCAGTGAATTTGGTTTTTATGTTCCATTCTCCCCCCCTTCCTCCACATGCCTCTAGTTCTTGAATAGATTGCGTGATTATTTAAACTAAAAGCTATTTTCCATCTTGGAATAGTTCAGGTAGTCGCGGGTATCCGTAGAACTTACAAAATCAACCGTAGAGTTTAAGTATGATTGGTTTAATACAGTTTTTAAATACATCTTTAAAGGATTTGTTTTAGTATTCAAAATTCCAGTGTTTATGTAGGAGCATCTTCGCTTCCATGCAAAACCGTCTCATTAGTAGGGGGATTGAGTTTCACTGTTTTTTATTTACGGTAGTATACTTACTTCCACTAAATAAATAAATCACCAATTGGTGCCACCCTACCATAGGTTTTATAACCTTTGTAACTGTGCCAAAGGTAGCCTCACAACATCTATTGTTCTTATTACTTCCTCCACCCGGTCGTCTACCCCTCTGCTTGCAGTATCCAGGTAATATGGAGATTTTTGCGCGTGCTAGGGCTGCTTAATTATGCATAGCATTCTCCAACTACCTCTTCGTATCTGGCTCGTTCCACTTTCTTTGCGTATCTGCACCCAGTCATGTCCATGGGCTTATTGTTCTTCCTCGGCCCTCTTTGTGCATTATGTGTTCTCTCGAGTGTTACCAAATACTTGAAAGAGCTTCTCTAATTAGAACTTTTTTCGTCAATGGGTGTGTTATCCCTATTATTGAAAACGGGAATAATGGTAATTAGTGAGTACTCTTTTTACTCCAGACCGGACATTTTAAGACCCACTTGTGCGTTAAAATGGGTGAATTTAATTCCACCGCAGCAAGGGTACACTACCTCGAGGGGTACATTGGGTCTATTTCGGGGACGAGGCTCTGACAAACGCTTGCTGGAGAGTAAATATCGAATCACTATCCCATTTTCGTCTTTGATTTACATGTTAGTTAATCTTCATGTCGAATGTTCAAACCCCTGTGTCCATATCTGTAGACCAATCTCTCAAATTTATTAATGAACAGTGAATTGTCGGAGGTACTTCTCTTTCTATCCGATTTGAAAATCACCTTTCTTCTAGCATTCATACAATTTCATCTAGGCACTTATTTAATTCACTTTATACTCCTGTGAGATACTTTATTTTGCGAGGTGAATGTTTTGTTATATGTGAACAGAGAAAACTTCATCGAATTCCCATCATTTCATATTCCTACCGTGGTAAGGAAAAGTTTAAGGATGTAATTGGCAAACGGCACTAATTTGTTTTCTTTTCTCCAAGAAGTAAACTAAAGGCTCATTAATGTTTCTCACTTAATTCTTGCCTAAATATACTGTTAGGAATTTTTCCAAATATAATTTGAAGGCTAAGACATGGTAAGCCATCTTTTTGTGAAGATATGTGGTTAGATAGGCGTGCTGGGGAACAAACAGACCGATGGATGGAAAAAGGCCTTGCGAATGATTGAGTAGGTGGGCGGATATATGGACGGGTGGATAGACGAACGAATATATGGGTGGTTGAGTGAATTGATGGATGCGTGGATGGTTGGCTAGCTGGATGAATGTGCAGATGGTTAGGTGGATAAAAGGATAGACCGATAAACGGGTAAATGTCAACCACTCTACAACTTCTTTGCTTTTCATCCGACTCCCGCAGGATGACCAGACACCGCTACACATCGCTACGCTTTGCGGCTCCGCGGACATGGTCCTTCTCTTGCTTAAGTTCGGCGCCAATCCCAACATGACCACTCGCGATGCCTACACCGCTCTCCACATCGCTGCTAAAGACGGTCGTGCCGACATTGTCCAGTGCCTTCTAGCCAGTGGAGCTGATCCTGATGCCAGGACCAGGGTGAGTTGTCGTCGACCTCGTCTGCAAACGTTTAATTATCTCACGTTGTCTGTGCCGTGCTGTTTTCTTAGCACTGTGCGCGTGTCAATTTTTGAGTTACTGGTGATAAGTCACTTGCTTCTCCTTTGGAGAATTCCAAGATTCACTTTGCATGAAAATATTGATCCCGTCTAGATATATCTAAACGTCTCTTGCCATGTTTGATGCATCACTCTTCATTATTATTGCATTTTTGTGTTTTGACCTTTCTCAGTCAGTAGTGGCGGCATGGGGCGATCTTTGGTTGTCAACTATTTCATCATCCAGTTATGTCCCAACACTACGTTTGCCTGCAGATTTATAATCGTTAATTTTTTTTCGATTCACAAATCGGGTTATCCTTTTCTACGCTCGTCATTCTGTTTAGTCTTCTGGTAATCATCTTATCGTCCGATGTCCGGGTATCTAGGGTCTTTGCTCTGTCATCATGTCATTATCTTCTTTTACTTTTGAATCTTTCTATCGTCAGCTACAATTTTTTTTTTCCAACACTGACTTAAAAATCACACTATTACGTTCATTTGTGAGCACATCATCTTTTTTATCTTTACAACTGCACAAGTGTGATTTGTAAACGTCATTCCCCCTAATTTGAAAGCGAATCTTGAATAGTCCACTTTCAGAACATCTGGAGCCCTAGCTCTAACTATTTTGAATATACTTTGCATTGACTGAAAGCTCATTAGCATCTGAGCCAAAATTTTAGTTTCACAGATCTCAAAGTGGAAGGGTGGATGTCTAGCGAAAGTCTGTAATGTTGAAGTTGGCAAAAATCTTTAACGATATCGGAAACTCCGTTCGCGATTTTAACTGTTACCACCACCCTTATCCACCCTTGGTCCCCTAGTCCGGATTCAAACTGCTGAAAAGCTTCTACATATTCTTCTGTTGTAGCGTGGTTTCTGTCCTCTACACTTGGCTGCGAAGCGAGGTCGCGCGGAGGCAGCGCGCACCTTGCTGCAGGTGATGCGACCCGAACTGGTCAACGCGGTGGGTCGCAACGGTCTCACGCCGCTTCACATGGCCGCGCACTACAACCACGTACCCCTTGTCCAACTCCTCCTTGAGTTCGATGCTGAGGCTGATAGACCGGTAAGTCGGCGTAGACACCGTTTGTGACCTCAGCTTTTGCGTACTTGGGGTTTGGCGTGAGCGCACTGGGAATGAGAGGGCGGGCCAAAAGTAATATCCGTTTTACACAGGCGTTGTTTCACATTTGGTGTGATGGAGAATCATCGCACTCATTCGTTTTTCCTTTGGTCCAAGGTCTACACATTTATCACTCGTTTTACTATATACGTTGCAGGAAACTGGAAATGCAGACCACTTAAAGCATCTATTAGGCGCACTTCTTAGGCTTGAATGTATTGCCCATTTACCGATGGTTTCGATACGATTTCTTGAAGGAATTCAGTTTCGAGGAAAACGTTTTCTTACCAACAAAAAATGCTTCTGCTTTTTCACTTGCTTATCATGTTCACTTGTTCATTCACTGAGTGATTGTAGTTTTGGGTTTAATACGTTGGCTACCAGCGTGGCATTTGTTATTTATAGCTTTACGGTAACTAGTTGCACGAAATCGCATTGCAAGCAGATTGACTGGACCGAAAACAATAAAGCAGTTGTGGGTTGCTCTTAATCCGAGGGTAATTACTCAAAAGCTTAAAAACCAAAGTTTTGAGTGGCAGTTGATTTAGTTAAATAATAATGACAATTTGACTTATGCTAGAACAATAAAAGGAATGTGATGTGTTAAAGAATCCAATTTGTCCATTTGCAATCGCTGCTTTGAACCATTGCTCCTCCATACCCTCATTTGTTTTGCTGTTTGTAGCTATGAGCATCACTTTTAATAGAGTGGGTGGAATCTATTATTTGTGATAAAACTGACAGAATATCTGTTTTGACCATCATATTTTAAGCCACTGCTGAGGTCATTGTGACCTTTTTATGCCTATTCACCTACACGCATGTACCTGCATTCCCGATCAGCTTAGAAACACCTGGCTGTGCTATTGATGAAAGGATAGGTACACATTTCATACCTACTTAGGAGGCTTTCTAGGGGGTTGAAATGAGCACTCGTTTTCACTGCCACTGGGATTTTATTTAATCATCATGAATCGGGATTTTTGGACTCGAGAAAAGCGTTAATTTTACTCTTCACGTTGTGGTATGGATCATTTACAAGAATACGCGTTAGCTCAAACTCT